AGTTAAAAAAAATCGTTCTGGCACCTTCTCTATTTTACGTGAAATAAATGATTACGTTTACTGTCAAGTTAAAAAAAATCGTTCTGGCACCTTCTCTACTTTACGTGATATAAATGATTACGTTTTCTATAAAGTTAAAAAAAATCGTTCTGGCACCTTCTCTACTTTACGTGATATAAATGATTACGTTTTCTATAAAGTTAAAAAAAAATCGTTCTGGCACCTTCTCTACTTTACGTGATATAAATGATTACGTTTACTGTCAAGTTAAAAAAAATCGTTCTGGCACCTTCTCTATTTTACGTGAAATAAATGATTACGTTTACTGTCAAGTTAAAAAATCGTTCTTTATAGAAACATAACCCTATAAAAGATGCAACATTCTGATGTCTTGCAAAGCCAATGTGGTATTTAACAATGGTCTTACAAAAATAAACTCATCGAACTTAGTTTCGTTTTTGAAAATATGCCTTTTATGACTCTAACCGCTACGTTGCGAAGGTGACCTCGAAAATATCCATTTGTGGGACGTAAAGCAAAAAAATGCCGATGAAACATGAAAAAGATCAACGCTATTATCGCTGAACGAGCCGGCAAGATCAGAATCGAAATTAATCTTACCAATGGGAAATATAACGAAATCGAGCGAGTTCTAGAAGCCTATCATAATAATTTTAGTCAAATTGCAACTGATTTCGAGTCGGGTGGCAGGATGTTAACAACGCTCCCTTGTCCAGATTGTCAATAAGAGAGGATCTGACCAGCAAAGCGAGACATCATCAAATTCCTTGTTTTGTGGTTACATATATTATCTTGGAGCAAGTAAAAAAATATATATATATATAACGACCGACAAAAATCACGCGATTCGGCAAAAGAATCAGTCTGGATTCCACCTCCGTCTGTTCAAATGAACTGTGAATTTTAAATATTGTTTTATTTTATTGTGTTACATGATAAGAAATTTCTCCGAACCATTTTATCTTCAAGAATAATTTTTAGTAAAACTATATAGTATGTGTTTCGAGATCCAACAAATCTAAAAATGAAGACGTCAGAATCCAATCACCATAATAATGTAACTGTTTAAATCACCACAATAATTAGATGGTTTTATGAGAATTTGAGAATCAATAATGCCTACCGGTCCATGTGCAATTACATTCATACTGTATACTTTGTAACTTGTTTCTCCACATGACAAAATTTCATTTAATGTTGTAAGTTTCGCTTCTTAGACCAAAACATAAATTACTTTCATCTTCTCTCAATGTATTTGTCAAGATTTGCTAAATCATTTGTGCTTGGGGATATATTCCAATCATTTTTTGTTGCCTTTAAGATAGTTATAGTCAGTTGTAGAGATCCATTGTTATTTTGACTTGATACTATTTCTTTGGGTTTTTCAGTTGAAGTAGGATTCAAGAGAGTTGCTTTTTCCCCTTCTCTTCGTATTTGTTCCATCCGTGGTGTAATAATGACGAAGCGACCAGTTTCTGTAAGGAAAGATCTCGAAATAATTCGTATAAGGAACTTTCCATTTTTTAATTTCTTCGAGTGCTATTACAAAGAAGGAACTCCGAATAAGTCATATGATAAAACAAACTCACAACTTAGGTTCTATAGTATACCAGGGGAGAGCTCTGAGTTTCTCGTCGCAGTTTCTTCTTGCCTCTGCAAATACTCGATAAGTTGTTTTATGCTATATTTCCGACTCAACTCTGTTAATATGTGTGCCTCTTTCTCTTCCGTTGCCCCATTAAAGACTGATGTACTGTACTCGTTTTTTGCTGGGTTCTACTAAAAATTATAAAGAAAAAAGAAGACGTGCTACCATTTTTATAAGAGACGCGTCAATACGTGACAATCTGACAATCATATGGTGATCATCCTCCCGTGACTTATGTATGCGTGATATACGTATAGGCTAAAAATATTTTTCTGTAATATGCTCCACGATAAGAACCAGCGAAACGAATCTCGAAAAGGCAGTACGGAAGGTCAACCCAACTATCTCCATTAGTGCGTATATCAAGGGACTTATGTCTTGGGGAGTCGAAATCTCCGCAATCTCCGAGTTCGTCGTGTACTTGCCATTCTATATGAGTTGCGTATCTATCTTTACTAGTCTAGATACATAAACGCATCGCAAAACCAGGATATTTTACGCCATATACCAATATAAAACGCTACCATGTCTTCTCACGAAACCTCATCTATTTCTTCTCCTGTATCCGAATCCTTTACATTAACGGAAGAAAGGTCAACTCGCACGATGGCAGACGTTGTTAGAAACCTAGATACAGAAGAACTTATTGATTGTTTACAAAGATGGGATCTAAAACTTGAGGAGACACATTTCAAGATATTGCGAAAGGGGCTCTGATTTTCTTGAGCTAACCGAAGATAAGTTTCGAAGTATTGGTTTTGCATTAGGTCCGGCAACAAGGCTTGCAAAATTCATTGATGAGATTACCGAACAAAAGTTAAGAAGTTTCTCCTCCTACAAAACTCTGGATGAACAAAGTAAATGGCGAGGATATTACGAGCATCAAACAATTCAACCCGGGTATGACATTTTTCTTGGCAAAAGTGATTGAACATATGTTATATGCTAATCTATTTTTTCCATCGTATAGTTTTCAAGGAAATCGATGATGATGATAAAGCGCTTGAGCAGTGTATGAATGAAATTACATTGAGACTTTCGAATCTGGAAACAATGCAAGATAGTACCAATGAGGCTACGCGCTGTGTATTTATTACGTCGATATTAAATGCATCTCTGGACATTGTTCGACACGACTTACCAAAGAAGAAAAAATCTATATTGCATATCATAAAGGTGTTTCCGGTGAGGAGGCATCTGGCCGTGTCGACTTTGCGATAAAAGGAAACGGGGATCTTATGTGTATAGCCGAAGGAAAGCCTCGAAATGTCGAAATTGGTTATCTTCAAAATATTATGCAACTAGAAAGTGCGTACCATACAAACAAGAAGAAGCGTACAGCAGATGAAGCATTCAAGGATGATGATTACGATTATCTCTATGGGATAGTTTCTACAGGTATGAATCCCGCAATAGAATTTTTGACTATATCGCATCTAATTTATAATTTTATTTTTTTCAGCTACAGAATGGCACTTCATCGCCTTTACCACCGACGGTCTATATTGTACCAGTAAAAGCGAATACCGAATTAATCTTTTTAAAACGGCTCTCGAGGATGATCTTGAATCAATGTGAAACGGGTATTAAGTGTTATTGTTGAGTTGTTGAAGGATCGAGTAACAGTCGATAACTCTCATGCTAGTAAGAGAGCTCGAATCAAAAAAATTACTAAGAAATAGGAGTAGACAGTCCCCGCTTCACATGTATTTTAGTTGCCATAGGCAACAGCTTCGCTATATTGTGTTAATAAAAATTTTTTCTGATCGTGAAGAATTCTTCACGGTTTTTGCCAAGAAGTGATCGGCGTGACAAATTGTGAACTATTACAGATGTAAAAAACTAATCATAGTCTCGAATATATGCTTCTTCTATTGCAGAGCAAGCCTTTAGGCGATTCTTCGAATCAAGAATATGAATCGAGATTTCGGCAGGACTTTTATCGAAATAATCGCCGATTTTTTTTTTCAGGTTCCATATACACATACAGTGGCGATCATAATTAATGCAAAAAAAAATTTTTTTTTCGCTAAATTAAGTTTTTTTTATATAAATTCGGAGATATCATTTTTTTTCTAATATGTTCTCTTCGCTAATAGCATCGTTTTTTTATTTAATAAAAAAAAAAAATGCAGATTCTTGACTAAATTATTCTGCAAATTATATTTACCACCTTGTATAGATGAAATTAATTTTGGGGCAAAATTAAGAATCAAGTTTATTAAAAAGAATTGGCGGAATTAGTTTTTTGGGCAAAGTTAACTATCTGTATGTGTACGGTTCAAGAAATGATTTTTACTATAAATCTTTAATTACGTGATATGAACAAGATCTAGTCCAGGCTCAATCGTAAACTTTGCCACGTTTATGTAATACGTGACAATCATCATAAAAGAAAAATTTTTTTTAGAAAAAATTTTGTCATGGCGCCACCGAAAAATTCAGGAAAGAATTTAGAAGCCGAAAGTGTGTTGCAAGCAGTGGTTCTTGCAGATAGTTTCAACAATCGGTTTCGTCCTATCACCCTCGATAAACCGCGAGTATGTGTGTGCTTTTAATTTATAGTTCTCTCCCATTATATTCCCGGTCGTTGCAACAAATGCTGACATGAAATCTAAAAAAAATCGCCAGTGTCTTTTACCCCTTTGCAACACTCCACTAATCGAATATACCTTGGAATTCCTTGCGGTTGCCGGGGTACAAAAGGTTTACTTATTTTGTAAGGAGCATTCGGAGAAAATAAAAGAATACATCAAGTGAGTGATTCCAGAATGCATGGCTTTACCTAGTTTTATATTTATTTTATGTGTATATATTTTTTATTTTTCCAGAGAATCCAAATGGAGTCGATCGTATTCTCCAATAGAGATCGTGATCATTTTAACACGAGAAGCGCGTTCGGTTGGTGATGTATTGCGAGAATTGGACGCGAAACAGCTTATAAATTCCGACTTTATACTTATGTTCGGTGACGTGGTGTCAAATATAAACTTGGAGAAAGTTCTGGACGCTCATCGGTAGATTTTGAATCTCTCTAATTAGTTGAGAATTGAAAAATTCTTTAATTCTTTCGCATGAAATATCTATTGCTCTCATGAAGAACTCGGAAGTCAACTGACAAGAATGCAATCATGACGATGGTATTCAAAATTTCGAATGGAATGGTTCTATAAATTTTAAGATAATAACACCGACTATCGTTATTACCGATTGCAGGTTACTAAAGAAGCAAGTCCCTTTCACAGAACAAGGTAGATGGATTCGCGTAATTATTTACTCGGCGAAAAGAATGAGTTCAGGTTGATCAACTCAACTCTCAATTTTTAGGGCTATGGGGGAGTCTTCAATTTTCGTCCTTGACGCGAGAACTAATGAGTGCGTTCACTACGAGTCGGTCGAAGCATTCCCACGTAAACGACGGATGGTCATGAGCACGGAAGTATTTAAGAAACACACCGATATTCAAATACGCAACGATCTCATCGACTGTCAGATAGACATTTGTTCCGTGGAGGTGAACATGCGTTATGATTAGTTTGTGCATCTCACCGTAATTACTATTATTTAACCTTCGGTTGGATTTATTATTAGGTTCCACCTTTATTTACCGAGAATTTTGATTATCAGGATATACGAAAGGATTTTGTGTACGGGGTTTTGACGTCCGAGTTACTAGATAAAACTATATATTGTCACGTTGTTAAGGATGCGTATGCAGCAAGAGTGAGAAATTTGCAGGCTTACGATGCTATAAGGTTTTTTTTTAGAATTAAATTTACTGCGTCCGATATTATCTATTCATTGTCTTGATGCTATTCTTTAAACAACAGTAAAGATGTTTTATCTCGGTGGACTTACCCCATTGTTCCAGATAGTAATTTGCAAGAGGGTAATAGTTACGAATATATGCGTGGTCAGATATACAAAGAGCGGGATGTTGAACTATCGAGGTATTGTTTTACGCACACGCACGCTCCTTACACTTGACCATATTTCGAACTACTTGATTTTCGCGCACGTTAGGTCTTGTTCACTGGGTGAGAGAGTGTTGATCGGTGCTGGTACCAGAATTGCTGAGAATGTCAAGATAACAAATTCAGTGGTTGGTCGGAATGTTGATATAGGTACTCCGCATGATTTTTCTTGAGAGAGTGTGATCTTCTATTTCTAAAGTTCAAACTGTTTGGCAGGTCCTAATGTCAAAATTGAAGGAGCTTATATTTGGGATGGTGTCAAAATTAATGCAAATTGCTCAATATTCCGTTCCATATTGGCAAATCACGCTGTCCTGGAAGAAAATGTGATCGTCAACCAAGGTTGCTTGTTGGATCACGATGCAAGTGCAAATTATATTTTCATTATTTAGCATGCATAAATGTGATATCTCAGTCTAACTTCCGCTATTTATATGTAATTCAGGTGGTCGTTGGACCAAACGTGACATTAGAGGCATATACGAAAATATCGAAGCACAAGCAAGTATCCGAATCTGAAGGTGATGATGATGAGGAAGAAGAGGATGAGGAAGAGGATGATGGTTCATCGAAATTGCCTGATGGTTAGCCAACTACATATGTTGTCAAGACGGTCTTTTTTTAATTGTTTATTGACAAGAGGATCATTGTAGTCTATGATGTTCATCTGGTTGGCGAAAACGGGAGAGGATATTTATGGTCCAATGAAATTTCGGACACGGATGAAGAAATTGCAAGGAATATAAAAGTTGCGTCACTCGGTAAGTTGATGTAAGGTTCACTTGTCAATTACATATTTGGTCAGATTTCAATGCCATCTTGTTTTTTTTTTTTTTGGCGAATCAAACTAGCACATGATATATCCAACATATCAATAAGCGATTCATCCGCATCCGTTGTTAGCGACGGATCTTACGAAGAAAGTGATCCAGATGAATTATCGGCCCATGAGGTGTTCCATAAGGAGGTAGTTCAAACACTCGAGAGGGCGTTCTCCGATGGACACACAGTAGAAATAGCCTTGCTGGAATTGAATACTTTGAGGTTGGCTTCGAATGTCACGTTTCATGACTTACTTACGGTGGTAATTCCCACTATTCTGAGCCGAATCGATCCGAAAAAATTGATGATCAACACAAAAGAGGTGAGCGCCATTTATGATAGTCAATGGCATACGGTGTTCCGGATATTCTAAATTTTATATATAGATTTTAGGTCGATGGGGACCGCTTATAGGGAAGCTGATCTTTTCTAAAAAAGATCAAGTTGACACTCTGCAGATATTACAGGTATTGTATTGTCTCTCTCTATATTTCTATATATGTGCGATGTAGAAATTATCCACCTTTATTGCTGATTTCTATTTATCCAAAAACCAAGGAACATTGTGCTGAAACACGAGCCGACTTCAAACTTTTTGCGCCGACATGTCGCGTCCTCTACGAAATGGATATATTGGAGGAGGAAGCTATATTAAAATGGTATTATTCTGATTCGTCAAATAATGACACCCTCAAGTCAGTTCGTGAGCAGGTAGGTTTTTTCATTGGGTGCGTTTTCAATCATCTGGCACGAGTGTCGATTTACTTTAATAATTGTGATTTACAGGTTGCTCCGTTCATCACATGGCTAGAAGAGGCGGAAGAGGAAAATTCAGATGACGACGAGGAGGAGGATGATGACGATGAATGATTTAATAAATATTTAATTTTTTTTCGATAATATACTGTACATGCATACAGCTGAAAGTTATAAATTTGTTCTATTTTAAACTTGCGTAACACGTGATCAAACGTCACATACTGTACGTATATAAATGATGATGTCACGTAATTCTCACGTACCCATAATACAATCATATGTAATGGAAGGAGCTTTTACACTTCCCAAACCAGGGGAAATCATTACCCACGATTTTCGCCTTAACCCAAACTTATCTATTAACTCGAACGGAACTTTAAAATGCCTCCAATGGAATGTTGAGCGTAACTATTGTTCCTCAAAGATACTTTCCGTATTAGAAGAACTGGACCCGGACATTGCGTTTATCCAAGAGGTCGACATCAATTGCAAACGCTCTGGAAGTAAAAATCATTTTAAGGAGATAGCAACTAAACTAGGTTGGAAAGGTGGATTCGTGTGCGAGTTTTTGGAGGTGGAAAGCGAAATAAGAAAAGAAAGAGATCAAGGAGGAGGAATCCACGGCAATGCTATATTCACTAAACATGAAGTATCTTTTCGCGTTCTCGATCACAAACATCATCCTTTGAACTGGGAACGGGAGGGTGTATCACTACGCGAACCAAGAGTAGGAAGGTGAGTGAATGAACCTATTTATGTTTAGCGAATTACGTTCATCATTACATCATTGAAGCCTTTTATGTAATCAGGAGATTTACATTGGTGGCGGAAGTTATGACGCCAATTGGTCCGCCGATTTTGTGCTATTGTGTTCACTTGGAGGTAATTGAGAGGTGACAAGGCGAACCTGTTTACAATGATCATTGTTTTAAAGGAAAAGTAAACCACAAAGAATTAATTATGCTCCTTTCTTAAAGGTTTTCTGTGGGATAGTCGGCAGGATTGTTCAATTTTCCGAGATACTGGCCGATTCCACAAAACGCATTGACACTCATCCGAATCAGTTGATCTTTGGAGATTTGAACACCATGGGACATTCAATTGCTCGCTTGTCACCGCTGTATTGTACGGATAGATATCGTTTTCTGTCGTTGGGCTGGACAGAGTCCGAATGGTGGGACGTTAATCTTTTTGGTTGGCACATTCACGACGGAGAAATAAATCTTAGGCTACAATCTGGTGGATTAAAAACTTTGGCAGCGTTTTTAAGAATAAACAAGAGTCTTAGTGAACGCAGTCTTCAAGTAATGTCCGGATTTTCGTCGGAGGCTTTGCGTGCGGCGCGAAATCCGGGATTCTATGACCCTTGGTCGCCAACCAAGGATATCACCTTGCACAATCCGAATTATCTAGGTCTATACTCGGCAAAACTTGACTGGACGCTGATATGTGGATTTGAAGTTGTCAACAGGTGGATCGGCAATGACGATTATTCGGCTTCGGATCATAAGTACATGATGGTGGAGTTGAAATTTGACGACGAGAAGGACAAAACGTTATCATCGAGAAGTCGATGGGAGAATAGGAGGAACTTTTGGAGGAATGAATTAAACGTAGACAGTAACGATGGCGTAATGAGAAAGTGGATGAAGACTATTGGATTGGGGGTTGGCGTTGCAGTGATTGCAACTGCGATTCTCAGTCAACGATGAAAACACGTTGTCATTTATAAAGAGGATCGTCGTCTGATTAATTACAGTTTGATTTTAACAGAAAGAAAAGTTATAGAATATTACAGTATATTGCTTATGAAAATGGTGAACGGTGTTTTTCACGCGAAATTTATTTAGAGATGGCTATTCTCGTTGATCGGTTTAAGACTCTTTTGATTTGACAAAATAGAATTCAAAATGGTTGAATCATAACGATTTTCAAAAAGAAGAGATACCCATCTCAAGTCAAGTAGTCTCTGTGATGGGTAAATTATCATTTTTTTCAGGATTTCCAATCCTTGCTCGGTTGATATTTGACCTTGTGGAATTAATTCCTGGAATTGGCGTAAAAATGTAATCTGCTCGCGATTTGTAGGCAGTGATTCGTTCTTCCACTTTATCCCAATTGACACATTCCCAAAATGCATCTATATATTTTTCTTTGCCTTTTATGCCAAAGTCACGAAGATACGCGTGTTCCCACACGTTCAATCCCAAAATGGGAGTGAATTTAGATTTGTGCGGTGGTTCCTGAGCCAACTTTATGAGTGGTGGTGGAAGAGGTTTCGTTGATTCGTTAATATTGGCCGTTGGCGAGAATGGAGAAGTGGCGGTGAAAAGGAACGGTGAGTTCGGAAGCGGTGAGGGAAAGTTGTTGGGATCGTAAGGCTGAAGTCGTGTCGTGTCGAGAGTAGTTCCTGGTAATTGTTGAAGAGTCAAAGTTATTAAAATTATTGTCGAGCATGCATATGATTTAAATTGGGTCACTGTACCTGCATTATATGTGTTGATCACTCGGAGGACGCGAAATTCGGTTAATACAAGCCTAATTCAATGGTTGATAATTCGTACAATGGACGATAAAGTGAAAACGTGATTAGATGGTTGAAATAGTTGCCGTACTTACCATGTCCAGCCTGAACCAAACAAGCCCAAGGCCATGTACTTAAACTAAATAATAAAGAGTCGATGAGATTTAGCACATAGTTCAGCACTTGCACATCGATTCGCGTGTGAAAGAGGATTTACGTGTTTCTGAAAATCTTCGAACGATCCAAATTCATCTCTGATACTTTCACTCGAATTCTGAAGTGGAGTTGATCGCTTGTCGGAACCCTAAATCGTTTTGTTAATATCCGCCACTTCAAAGACGTTGACCGAATTCTACGGAAAGAAAATTATAACAATATGACGTGACATACGTGACATTCCAAGGTTTGCAGAAAGAAATCATTGTTCCACACTTGAGACGCGCAATTAAATAACTGGGCCTTCTCAGGCACTTGCGCAGTTTTCACAATGACATTATATATGTGCTCCTGCTCGAATTCCGTATCTTCTCATACAAGAAATTTACGAAATTTGAAATATGCAATCATTGAAAATCCAAGAGCAAAAGCGATAAGGTACCGGCAACAAGTCCGTTTAGTGTATCAATGAGAGAAGACTGATACTCCCATAATTCCTTCAAGGCGTCGTTTGAAAATAATGGTGCGAGACCCTTATTTATATCAAAAGGTAAAGGTTTGACGAAATGTATGCTTCGTATGCCAAAATCTACTGACTTTGGCAGTCGAAATGGCTTGTTGATACGAGATAGATTATTTCTCGAGAATGGTAAAGATGTGGTGGAAGTACAAAATTTTCGCGAATTTACTATCCAACGACGTATTACCATTGCTGCGAGGGGAATCGAGTTCACACAGATCTTGATTATCAAAAAAAAAAAAAAAAAATACGTGATAAATTCAGTCACGGGAACTGCAAAAATGATTGAAATATGTACGATAGACAACCGTTTACACTCGCTCAGTTCACAAAATGGTATGTGACATGGGGAAAGCTGGATTGAATTTATTCCTTGAAAATAACCTAAATCTTGTCGTTCCGCATATTTATTCGTGCAGAAAGTCAAGGCCCTTAGTCGATCTGCCTCGGATTACATCCGTGAAACTAGTCACGACATTCATAAAATTAAAAGAAACTTGGACCCCAACTTGCACCCGTTTGAAAAAGCTCGCGAGTATACTAGAGCCCTCAATGCAGCCAAATTGGAACGCATGTTTGCAAAACCTTTCGTTGGTGCCCTAAGTGGTCACGCCGATGGTGTATATTGTCTGGCCAAACATCCTAAAAACCTAACAACCATAATATCGGGGAGCGGTGACGGAGGTACCTTGGAAGCTTTTTATGCAATGATGCGGTCAAGTTATTTACCCTCCACTCTTAACATGCAAAATAGAGTTGAGGATTTGGGATTTAACCGATAGAACCACCATTTGGAAGGCTTTGGGGCATAAAAGTATCGTCAAGGGCGTCTGCTGTAGTTTGAAAGGCAACTTGTATTTTTCGTGTGGTACAGACAAGACTGTCAAGATTTGGAATCCTGTGCAGTCAGGTGAAGAACCCGTGAATACATTTATCGGAAAATTTTCTTTTAGGTGATTAGAGAATTCGGGCGACAATGATTTCATAGTCCTTTATTCATCCGGCTTCTGGTTCATACAGCGCGATCGATCACCACCGTTCCGATCCGATTTTTGCCACCTCCGGATCACAAATTGATATCTGGGATGAGAATAGGTAGCGGTGTATGTTGTTGCTTTCTTGGTTGATCAGCGTTATCGAAGTGCACTTAGATGTCAATTCGGTCAATAGATCGGACCCTATCAAAACTTTCACATGGGATGCGGACACAATCAACACGGTTCGATTTAATCAAACCGAAACAAACATTCTAGGAAGTTGTGGGACAGATCGAACAATAATCCTTTACGATCTCAGGATGGATTCGCCGATAGTAAAATTGGTCATGCAGGTGAAATATTAACAATTTTCACTAGACATCTAATCATTATTACACGAATGCTTTGTCAATCTGTCTTACTATTATATATTTTAGATGAAGACAAACGCTATTGCCTGGAATCCGCTAGAGGCATTTAATTTCACGGCCGTATGTTGTGATTTTATTGTTTGAAATGGTGCATTTGGTTTCGTTCATTAAAAAAGAAGGCGCAAAATTACAGGCGAATGAGGATCATAATTGCTACACATTTGATATGCGCAAGATGGAATGCGCGTTAAACGTTCTCAAGGATCATGTCTCGGCTGTGTGAGTAAAGCAGCTGCACGATTCTGTATGAACTTGGAATTTCGAACATGATTCTCATAAAAATAGGTGTATCTTTGTAGTCTGGATCTAGATTACTCTCCAACAGGTGAAGAAATAGTCACCGGATCATACGACAGGACTCTTCGGATCTATAACGCACGCCAAGGACACAGCCGCGATGTATATCATACCAAGAGGATGCAACGTATTTTCTGCGTAAAATTTAGCATGGATTCAAAGTACATACTTTCTGGCTCGGATGACGGGAATGTTAGGTTATGGAAAGCAAACGCGTCCGAAAAAATTGGTCCGGTAGGGGATTATCGCTCGCATTCACTCATCATTTTCGATTGAATGCGCTACACCGTCTCACCATTAGTTTCATTATCCAGAAGGATTACAGAGAACGAGCACACCTGGAGTATACGGATAGACTAAAAGAAAGATATAAAATTTTACCTGAAATCAAGAGGATATTAAGGTAACTCGTTCCCCATTTCTTAACGAATCTTTTAATTTCGCGTCATATGCGTGTCAGTCTTTCTTAAATTTTTTTTTTTTTTAAGGCACCGGAATGTCCCAAAGGCAATCCAAAATGCTCAAAAGACAAAACGCATCATGCTTCAATCTCAAAAACGAAAGGAAGAAAATTTGCGCAAGCATTCCAAAAAAGGCTCTGTACCATATCAAGTCGAAAGAAAGAAATCCATTATTGGTGTTGCCAAATAACTTAATTATTTAAAGCATACGACGATGACCGTGATCATTGTGTAAGCCTCATGAGAATTTGTCAAAGACTTCGATTTTAGTAACAGCATTAGCATAGATGATTTTAAAGGGCATTAATTGACACAGGCGGCTGATTTTGTATTTACTAAGACATTTCTCAGAACAATGAGCGAGCCGTCTGTCGCGTAACTTGTTCCTTGGTTTCTCAAAAAAAAATTTTAAAATGCGAGGAAAACGGGTAGGTCAAACCACACTGAATGTTATTATCTGGAAAGGACAAAAGAATGAAGAGCGAAATAATAATAATTGCACGAATAAAACGAATCTCTTTTTTTTTTTTTAATATGACGAATGCCAAGATGAATCACAGGAAATGTAATAACTAAATAGTATATGATGCGAACGAACTGACTAATAATAATAGTAAAGGGTGCTACTAAATAATAATTTTTTTTTTTTTAGAGGGAAAAAAAGGCTAATAGGTAATATAATGAATAATAGATAATAAGTATAAAAATAATAAAAATAGCATTTTCGTAATAAACACATAAAAGAAAAAAATGCTTAAAGTATATCTAAATGCACATATATTTTTTTGTGTATCCTCGTTTGCGGTCTCGAGGAACAGTGAAATGGGAAAAAGATCGGAAAATGGAAAAGGAAGATAAATTGGATGAGATGTGAGGTAGGTAGGCAAAGGAATCTGTCGGGAGGTGAAGTCAAACGACATCCTTCCCAAACCGTCCAGTTCCCAATGTTCTTTTTATGCGTCAATCACATCATATTCCCAGGTTCATCACAATTATATATATATATATATATACAAAAAGAAAGTCACCTAAGAAATGGGATGCTGAGGTAAAGGAAAAAAAAAAGATTAAGGTGAGGGAAAAGAGAAAGATGTCAAGGGAAATATGATAGGGTATATACTGAGGAAAGGCACTTGAGGTGCATCTATGTCGTCGATCGGAATCGCGCGAAAATATCAAATATGAAATATATTACTCAATAGATATATGGTCTAAGAAATTTTAGTGGACTAATCCATTAATTATTATATAAAGATCAATTGAAATAAGATGTGAAATGTAGAAAAAATGATTTAATGTCCATTAAGAACCGCCCATTTTTTTTTTTTTTTTTTTTTTTTTTTCTTTCGAGGTTCCGTCTAGAGTAACCAGGAGTACTCAGATTCGTACGTTGTAGGAATGCAAAACGTAGCCACCACCAAATGGTCGTCTCTCAACACTTTTTCCTTTGCCAACATCTTTTCCCTCTACCTCACGAGCAGACAACAAATATTTCAGGCCCGCGGCTGCCTTTTTCACGTCTACCGACGTATTCGTAACATGACCACAGTGAGTCCGTGGCATTTGGGACATGAGTCGTTCCTCTATGGTCTTCTCCAATTGTTGTTCCACCTCGGTCGAAAATGGGGAACCCTTTAATGGAGGTGAGTCCTGCGAGAAGAAAAGGAGGACGAGAATGATTAATATACTAAAGTAACGGTTGCCGAGAAAATTTTACTTGGATAATCACCTTGGCAATCACTTGATCTACGTGTCCGCGGCTTCGCCCAGGCAATATGTCTAAATTTTCGATATCAGATTCGAGACGAGTCTCACTCAACGAATGTATGGTGTCTTGGGCTTCTTCTAAGAGATGAGCGTACTCCTGGGCTGATACTATCATTTCACTAAGCTTTCCTTCACATTTCACTTGTCGGTTTTCCAACTCGTTTATGCTAGCGCGCAGGTGCTCATTTTCGAGGACAACCTGAAACACGAAATTAAATACCAAGAAAGAATTATTCCCCTGTCGTTATTTAAAATCTGAAGGTGAAAACAATGCTTACCCTTCCGAGATCTGCCTGAATCATCTTGACGATTTGCGTGGTTGTCGCGCTAGATATCTTCTGAGAGTTGAGCGACTTTTCAAGCTGTATGGATAAATTCACGTTCATCTCTTGCGTGTCGGCAAGGTGTTGCTCAACGTCCACTGAAAGAAAGCGTCCCAAGTGAATCGACGGATCGTCAAATCAAGGTAAATAAATAAATAATTTAGAGATTATAGTTACCCAGCTTCTTGGCATATGTGTTAACTTTATTGCGCGATTCCCACATGTCTTCGGCCATATCATTCATCTGTCCCGAAAGACTGTCAAGTTCCTTTCGGAACCTTTTTAGTTCTCGTCGAGCGGTGTCAAGTTCTTTCTGCAGAAACGCTCGATGCTCGCGTAATATCTTTACCTGATCCTCACTGGCTGCCAGTTGAGTGGCGAGGTCATTACTGTGAGAAGCTTTTGAGAGCAAGATTCTGTTTTCTTCCTCGAGCGCGGAAAGCTAGGGGCAATTTTTTGAAGGAAAGAAAAATGAATCCTCCATGTTAAATGTGTACCGAGGGGAGGAAGTTATGTAAAATAATATGTGAAGAAATTTTACCTTTAGATAGGCCTGTGCCTCAGCTTGTTGGGCTAGGTCAAGTTTCATCTTAAGTTCCTCGTTTTTCCCCGAAATTTCAAGGCCGAGACGTGCTGCTATGTCCAAATTATGTGCTATACCGTCTTTCTCTTGTTCTTTTTGTATGAGCATTCGCCTCAAAACTTCTTTGTCGTCAATGGAGTTAACCTTTTGAAGTTAAAAAAAGGAAATTCTGAGATTAGAATGTCCGGGCAATTGGCATCTATGCGCATCAATGATATTACCTCTTCTAAAAACGTCTTCCGTTCCTTGACTACAATGGGAACAGAGAGAGTAGCGTGAGTGGGATGATGAGAGAATATCGCGGATAAAAAAAAAATATATCTACATATATATTTATATTTACCCGGAGGCATCGTATAGAGCTTATTGAGAAGAGGATCGACTTCGTTTTGCGCGCGAAGATTATCGCTGGTCTTGAGAAAATTGGATGCATATATACTGATTAGTTACGGCGTAAAAATTTAGTTTTCTGCGGAAGAGTGAGGGAAAGTCGCAGCTGTTTTCGATTCGAATGCGCAGCAACTGCTAACGTCATTGCACGCAGATATGCGGCGATCTTGAGAAATGAAAGAGCGGCCGGTTATTGGGTCCCGGCAATTGCTTATTCATGTGCGATTATAGTACTACGACTTCGGAGAAAAAATAAAGTAATAAAGGGAATGCGTGGCTGGCATTAATTAAAAGAACTTACCGATTCGTAGTATCCAAAGTGATTCATTATTCAAGTCTCTCACAAAGTCCGATTTGAGAGCTTGCAAAACGTTTCTTAAAGTGAGAACAAAAGAAGGTGTGAAAAAAAAAAGTTCTTTATATAATAATAAGGTTGTTTTTCTTCTTTGCGTTCTGTTCAATCGTTTGAGTGTCTTTCGCAAAAAGACAAGCTATAAAGGCAGGTTGTGGTAAGCGGGAAACGGAGTAAAGTAGTTCAGCTCGCAAGAAGTAAAACGTCGATGCAGAACTTTTTTTTTTTCAAAGAAAATTTACAGCACGAAAGCCATCACTCACTTTTTTTTCGATGAAAAAGAAATGTGAAATACCCCCGACAGTTATTATGGAGAAAAAGATTTGTTGCGTTGTGTCACCGAAAATTTATAAATTTATAAATAGAGTGCACAAGGTTTTTCATTTGCGCTATTCTCAATGTATTACTATAAAACTGAGGGCCAGCAAATAAAATTATTTGTCAGGTCCGTCTTTTCCAATTTTATATAATAATTCTTTTCAAAAAAGATACTTGTCAAAGCCACCACCAATCGTTTTTTCGGCGCGTGACCAATAGTATAAATTATAGACTACAAGCACTACGGGCAGGCCAAATGTTTCAAACATCTAACAAATGTCACAATGATGATGTACAGCCAAGTCTCAGAATCAAAGCCTTACCCAAAAAATCACCCGTCGTCAGCTTCTGTGCTTCCATTCAATTGTTCTTTTTTTCTTCGATGTCGACACCTTCGGAGTTTCATCCTTCGTTTCGTAGTGATCAGATCACGAACTGCGTAAATGAGGGTTTTCATTGAACCGACAATCAAGAAAGATGATCACCGTGCAATCAATCGTTCTTCAATCAATCACAGGTTCCTCGTTGGTTTACTCACCGTGCTCCCGAGACGTCAAAAAAAAAATATATATATATATACTGTATATTTGTTTATGTAATTTCCATTGTATTATTCCATCCTGCCGAGAGATCCTCTCGGATTCGTGCCAACTCGGAACACAAAAGATTTTTGGTGGGGTTTTCGAAAAATATCATCTTTTGCTAGTACTAAAAACGTCAATAAGTGTGCATACTGTAGGTGCATACGTAATATCCTAGAAGTGTGGAGTATTTTCTTTTCATAGTACGTACAATAACTAACCTATTTTTATCGAACCCCATCGATGGGACTTTTTAACCTAAATAACCTGCTTTTAAAAGTTCATACTATCCAAATATATCCATATTTACGGAGACATGCACCACACATTCGACAAACAAGAATGATTCAATCGTACGCTTGTTGCTTCCATTGAATCACGACTTTTAGAATTCTAGATTTCAAATCTTACTATGTGCGTAAGTTACGTGCGCACCTATGTTTTTTTTTTCCTTAGCTAAATTTTTGTCCGAGGCGTCACACAAAATTCCTTATATTCCTCAGCCGATTAGATTTATTTAAACGGATGGCTTCTGACAAAGAATATCATTGGTCTCACCCTTGTTTGGTTGATGGGTAAAAAGAGTGAAGGAGGAGTGAAGATATCGTGAAAATGAATTGAGCGGAACCTGTCGTCACTAGATTAACTGGTGTGACATTCTGGTAAGAAAATCCGCCGACAAGAATATTACAGGATTGAAAACACGCAGTTGTCACATTGTTACTGGCAAAAATGCGTACGTATTAGGTCTTTTTTAGAAAATTTTGGGAAACTGAACCGACAAAAGTTAATCATTTTTTAATGATCCTGCAGGCATGCGAGCTAACATTACTCCTTTAATTTGTGGCCCGTGCCATCACCACCTGATGAAGATGATGACGTACCGATGCACTCCTTCATTTGATGATTCGGCAGTGTGTTGCCGTTCCGTTTCTGATTGGTCGATGGTGCTTAAAACGAGTGATCAACAGAAAACAAAACATTTAATATGCATATCAAATTCGAAGTCTATTATTATATGTATTTTTTTTTTTATAGTAGTAGCAATAATAATAATAATAAAGGTGATGGCGACGGTGACGGTGGTGGTGGTGGTGGGGATGGGGATGATGGTAGTAGTATTAAATCCGAGATTTGAATAATCAAGTTGACAAACGGCGTGACCACTTGAGACATATGGTATAAGAGTTCACATTACCTCTTTCAACTACCCCTTTCGTATAAATAAAATTATTTAATCCCTCAAAAGTCTACACGTAAACTTTGAGTCCCGTTGAATTCGCACCAATCTGAGATATTTCACAGATCGTACAAAGTTGACCTTTATATTCAGGTAAGTATGATGCGTGGCAATACGGACATTCGACTGAAGGACTACCCTTGTAAATTGGCGTGTTGGAAATACCACAGACTACAAATGGATTGTACTGATCGTAATCGAGCGTGATCTCGTCCCGAGGAGTTTTTTCCGAGATCGACTGAATCTGACGTGCCTGATGCACGGAAGAATGTTAATTAATGAAAAATGGTTCCATCCTTCGGGCGACAATTGTGGAAAGTCGGGTAACTTACCTGTGTGGACACATTTGGTGGAGGTGCCAATTCCAATAATCGTCTGGCAAACATGGAAGCCGTCAAACAGTTCTTGGCCTTGAAACTCAGTGTCATCGCTGATCGCAGACTGAGCTGCAAGTGGGCCGGTTGCAGTCGGCAGTGGGTAAAGTAAGCGGCCAACTCCAGTGCTCGTTTCGTGTTTTCCGGATTATCAAGCGGATATTTACGACGGGTTTGTTCCATCGTGAGTCCAACGATGTATTCGCGGCAAACCTCAATAAGTTGATGCACCTATAACAAATGTGTGCACATCATGTAAACAGCTTGACGAATTGGTTGATCCTCCTTTTCTCTTTCTCGATTGATACATACCTCATCCACCTCCGATTTTTTCGATACGGCTATCAACAAGATCGAGTGTAGAATATATCGGAATTGTATCGTGGCATCTTGAAATTTTCCCTGAGTCGTTGTTTTGTACGCCTCCTGAAGCTGCACAGATATGATGTTCTGAAAGTTGTTGGGAAGAGCAGGCAACACTCGACGGGCCTCTGTTTCTTCATGATTTCGTCGAACATGGTAGACAAGAGGGGGAAGCGACACGTTGCAAGGTAGATAGGTGCGAGTTGCTTGAAAAGTTCTTAAAAAATGCATTTTCAGGGGTTCGAAATTTACGGCCCCGACCTGCCTATTGAGGAGCTAAATCCAAGTGTTCATCAGGCTTCAGCATCAAAGATCAAGATCGTTATTGGATTGTTCGATTTTTATAAATACCTGCATGGCTGTCTCGAACGATCCGGCAGCCACGTGGTCAGCCGCCAAAGGTGAATTGTGTGTCCATAACTCTGATTCGTTTGTGCCTGAGGTCGGAGGTACGAACTCCCCTGGTGCTCCATTGGAAAAATCTTGAATCTCGGTATCCAGCTGAACACTGAGATCCGCATCGATGTCCCAGCCAGAGCCTTCTTCAATAAGTGGCGATGTCACAGGTTGACCATCAATAGCGTTCTCCACGTCACCACCGAATCCGAGATCATCTTCACCCGCCCAATCTCCCTTAATATCTTCTATCTCATCGTTAGCGTTGAACGAGAGAGGCGCCGCAAGTGGATTACTATCAGCATTAGAAAATGCGCTATCAAAGAATGAGCGAGATACGGTTAGCAAAGGCCAATTAGAATCGGCCTGTTTGATGATTGGCGTAGGCGGCTTTAACAATTGTCCATTGGCCGGTAAATCCGTGATATCTTCAGGGCTAAGTCCAGCGGCTGTCAGGATCGACTCCGCTTCCTCGGTGAGACCGTGGCTATGTGCGGTTAAATATGCAAGAGGCACTGGAGTAGGAGTAGGTGAAAATATGAAATGATCCGAAGTGATTAGTAACAATAACAACTTTCGATGACTTGAAACTGAAAGGATCTTCACATTGACCAATTTCTTTTAGTAATCGAACGCGTTCTTCAACTTCACCCAAATAAAGTGAGTTGTGGAATCTTGACATGTAATCGTTTCTCGACTCGGCAATCTTCAACATTTTCCTCAACTTTTCTAAATTTCCCGTCGCCAAGTACAAGAACGACAGGCGATCAAAATTTTTTATCCTTTGATACGCCATTTCAACGATCTACCAAAAAGATAAGGATCATGTATTTTGAATCGATGAGAAAATAAAATAGAAATAAAAGGATCACACATTTTGAACCAACGACAAAAACCACACAACAACAATAATAAATTCAATGAATCAAACCTGATGATTTCCTTGGCGTAAAGCCTCGGAACCCAATTTGTTCCAACAATCTTCACGATCCATGGATTTCGCGGTCTCTAATGCAACATCAATGTTGCCACATTCAAGGGCAAGGTCAAACCGAGTTTTATCGTCTCTTACAAAATGCAACGCAATCTAACGGAATGTATATAGGAGGAGATGTAAAAGAAGTGGGTGGATACAAGAAATTTTTTATCGAAAACAAATGGAAAAGACAATACCTCGGGGTATCCCTTTTTCTGTAAGTAAGCGATGATGGCCTGTCCAACCAGGTTTGAGGTTCGAATGATTTGCAAGACCTCGTCATAATTGCGTTTGATGAGAGCCAATTTGAAGCGATATTCGGTGGGATCTATGCTGATGACGCGTGTCTTACCGTCCCTGTCCAGACAATGAATATTTTTCCCTTTGACCTTTGTGAGATAAACGGGCTGATCAAGTGTACGGATAATTCCGTTATCACTAGAAAATTCAATGAAATTCTTTAGCGCCATCGGTATAACCATTAGACAATGTTAACCTTCGTTCTCGAATCGACCTACCCCTGCGAAAGTGCGTATTTAATGTGATTTAGAGTGGAATACACGAAAATACCAGCATCGTCCCAGGCACCGCTCTTGATCCTAATAGTCTCGTGAATCAGACAACTTTGTTCTAATGTCTTATTCGCAATCGTTATCGCTTGTAGTCGGAAAAAAAAAAAAAAATTTTTTTTTTTAAAAAGAGGTCATCTAAACCGAACGAGACGATCGCCATTCGGCGTTGAGAAAATATCGCGGAATGTCTCGACTTACTGTGCTTGCTCAAAAGAGCCACCTGAGAATGATCGGAAGACCACACGACATATTTCACCGGGGGGGTATTTATCTCAGCCACGGTCTGACGTTGCTGAATGTCGTACAGTATCACCGAAGTTGGAGTGCTGAGGAGTAAAAGATTGCTGCTTCCGGCGCTAAAAATCTCGCTCACGATTGCAGGAGGCTTAACGGATTTGGTGGTGGCGTTGGAGAGATCCCTGATTTCTATTTGCTGAAAGAGAAATGAATGGAACACATTTTCTACGCGTACATACTCATCTCCTCTTTTAATCGAAGACAGATACCTGACGCGTTTTATCCAACACCGCAAAACGATTTCTTGCAATGAAAATTGCAGACGTCCCAGCACCGTGTTTACCTTCCCCGGACACTTCTCGTGGTTCGCCGCCAAACTCTTTTGGCAAATTGAATAAATCAAAACTCCCACCGTCAGTAGGCTGAAAAAGAAATTGGTCTACGTTGTTAACCATGAAATTCTTTGAACGATCAAAAAAAAAAAAAAGAAAGGTATAATTGATCGTGCACTTCATACACTACTGACCGTGGTTATGATGACAGCACGTTCGGCGGGGTTGTACGACAGAGCCCGAGGCTGAACATATTGTCCGCCAATCTTGCGCACCGAGAGGACCGACAGATCGGAACCGTTGGAAAAATCGAAAACTCGCAAACTTTTATCTTTGATATAGAAGAGGTTATTCTGATGAACCGCATATGCCGGGCGCTCCCTCTCCAACTTGAAAACTATAAGGCCATTGTCGTGACCTTTGGAGCAGCAAAGATGGTTAACACCACATGCAACCGTCAACTTTGTCCAAATCAAAATTCTTTACCAGCCGCAAACAGATTCAATTCAGGATGGGCGGTCAATACCCAAAATCTATCATGCTCGCGTCTAAAAGTTTGCACAAGTGTTCTCTTCGACATATCCCAAACTCGGATGGTCTTGTCCTCGGCGTCGGATATGATCAACTCTTGCCGGGGATGAAATAGTGCAGCGGATACATTGTTGAAATGACCACGACACGTATCGACTTCCCAAGCCTTTGTATCTAAAATACACCGATTATTCAATTATATAATTAATGAAAATTTAAATAATAAACGATAATGGTAATCGCAACAGTCATGATAAATGATGAATGGTAATGGTGGTGGTGGTAATAATAAAAATACCATACCATTCATCCTCCACAATTTTATTTGACGATCATCACCGGCCGAAACGATTAACGGAAGGTTTGGGTGAAAGGTGGCCCAGTTGACACCGCGATCATGACCCTCCAACACATATTTCACTATTGCATCGGTACTTCCAAAAATATCGGCCTGAGTTGCCGCCGCTCTATGCAAACCGTCTTCGAAACTCATAGAAGTAGGTGCAGCATTTTTCTTTCTCAGACCTAAATTGCAAGGGATCAACAAAACTCACCTTCCTCCTAACCACGAAATCAATCAATCAGAATACCTGAAATATCCCAGATTCTGACGGTCTGATCCAGAGAAGCTGAAACCACCAAGTCTTCTTTGGGGTGAAATTGAGCACACATGACATAGTGATTGTGTCCCGTTAGAATGGCGATGCAATTTCTTGACTGCCAATTCCAGATCCGAATTGTTTGATCATCAGACGCACTTAGAATCCAAGGGTATTCGTGGTGAAAGAAGACCGTTCGCACATAATCCAGATGTCCATTTAGTGTGAATAAACATTTGCGGGTCTTGTGATTCCACACTTTGATCTTGTAGTCATCGCCGCCTGACACGAACAGGGGTTGTGTTGGATGGAAGGCGATGCCGCGAACAGGTCCTGCGACGATGCATACGGATCATTAATTTGACGCCCGACGAATCACGGTTAACATTATCAAGCAGATCACTCTCAACTAACCGTCGTGTTCGTCAAACCGTTCCAGGAGAGTACCCATACGATAATCCCACAACTGTATGCAACCATTATGAAGCGAAGCCAGAATCCAAGGCCGTTTGGGGTGAAAAGCAATCCCTTTAACACGATTGCTTTTCGATTCGAACTTTATGCAAAAAAGATTTGGATTAACATAACGACGTTGAATGTATGGTGTGTTTTTGCGAATGGTAGAGCATTACAAACTTAAGTGACATCAGTATTTCAGTGTGATTTTAAATGAACCTTTGTTAGCATCTGCATTTTGGAAGGTTTTTTGTAGCTTTTGCGACGCTATCTCCCGACTTTTTTGAATAGCGGCCTCGTATCCCAAAAGGTCAAAATTTTTTATTACGTGAGTGGTAAATCCTCGAAATTCGAACGTTTATCAATTGATTGGTCGAACCCAGTTAATCAGTTGGTGTAACCATGCAAGATGCTGAAAAAACGTCTCACATCCATTATTCATCTCCCAAAATGTCCCTCCAAGGAAGAGTAGATCGCATTTTACACGTGTATCCTTTTTTTTCACAAAAGTAATGATAAGAGTGCTGATGAACGTATTAATCAAATCAATCTAACTTTTCATCACATTCCCGGTGACCATTTTACCGTTGGTCGACAAGGCAACAACAACCTGGGATGGTGTAAATTGAAATCTTTTGTCTTTTTAATGTGTTTGCAAAAAATCGCAAGTTTATTTTCGAGAATTGGATCAATTTTTGATGGAATATTGTATGTACACAAGTTATATAATGCGTAAAAAACCTGGTGAAGACCCGGGGGCTGAGTTTAAAAATAAAAAATCCCTTCATAAGCACCTAATAATTATATTCTAGATCTAAATAACTGTCGAGGATGAAATTTGAATTTTACTTTCGAGTGTTACCATCCTCATTTGATTCGTGGTCAACGAGAAAACTGTCATCACTTCATATTGTACTAACGAAAGTGCATCTTAGATCTTTATTAATTTGACATCTTGATTCTATGACCTAAGATCACATATTGTATATAAAAATTACACGTTATGTGAAAAAGATACCGCCATGCCAGAGAGGTGTATCCGAAAAAAGGGATGCGAGTATTGCAGCCGGTTTTTCTCCGCTCATTGGATCTTATCCAATGGCCTAAAACGCAAAATAGGATGTTTTTTGAGCCCCATAAATCATTGTCAAAAAGCAAGATGCAACAGCAGATGTCAATGCGTACCTATTGAATCCACCACGTCTATTCATGTATTGTCGGTACTGCCTCTGCTTTTTAATACTAACTGCCGCGGTGTCGTTACCCGGAACCTTTCTACCCTGATATTATTGTATATCAAATCATTTCGTTTTTTTTTTTCAAACATTCAAAGAGAGAATCATGTAAACAAAAATTTACCTTTGTGCTGCCAAATCCTGACATTCCCATCATCCTCATCATTGCTTGCTCAGGATCGTCATCCAGGTTTATATCATCCGAAGCATTGGTGGACGATGATTCTAGAAGAAACATGAGAGAAATTGTATTCACCAAGGATTTTTTTTTTTTTTTCTTCGAGGCAAAACATGCCACTAGCGATCGATTCGTTTCACCAACCTACTACCGGAACTTTGGCAGTTTCTTCTCTTCTGTAATCGCGTATCAAGAACCAAAAAAGTAAGAAAGAAGGCAAACGCCAAGAACACAAATAACATTCAAGGTCACCGATTACCTTGGGGAGCGAGACCGTGATCTGTTCCTTCGTTCGCGATCATACCTTTCATCTATATGAGGGGATAGTTGCATTAGAGAAATCTACTTCTCAATCACCACCAGCCATACTCCCCAACTTACCCTTGCGATCACGTTGTTCAACTTTGACTTAATATCTGGTATTTCACGCCCACGG